TTCAGACCGTTTTTTGCACTCTCCTCTTTCACTCTCATTACAAGGTTCTTTAATTCCTCCTCACTTTCTGCCATCAGAGTGGTATCATCTGCATATCGGAGGTTGTTGATATTTCTTCCGCCAATCTTAATTCTGGCTTGGGATTCCTCCAGTCCAGCCTTCCGCATGATGTATTCTGCATATAAGTTGAATAAGCTGGGGGACAATATACAGCCTTGTCGTACTCCTTTCCCAATTTTGAACCAATCAGTTGTTCCATGTCCAGTTCTAACTGTTGCTTCCTGTCCCACATAGCAGTTCGAAAGCATGTAAATGCGAGCAGATAAATAGGTACCATCTCGGTGGGAAGGTAAACAGTGTTCCGAATCTAAGTCGCACTGGCCATGTGACAACGGAAACTGTCTTCGGACAAACACTGGCTCTACGGCTTGGAACGGGGATGAGCACCGCCCCCTAGAGTCGAACACGACTGACTAAAATGTCAAGGGGAACCTTTACCTTATGTTTGTATATATGAAGGCAAGAGGAGAAGGGAACAACAGAAGACCAGATGGCTGGACAATGTCATCGAAGCTACCAACATAAATTTGACCCAACTCCAGAAGCAGTGGAAGACAGGAGGGTCTGGCGTGCTCTGGTCCATGGGGTCGCGAAGAGTCAGACACGACTTAACGACTAAACAACAACATGTTTGTATAGTGCTACACAAATGCCACTATAAACATTTTAATTTTCCCAGTAATTAGAAAGTCCTGCTACTTCCTGCACCTACTACTTCTTGGCCAATTATAAATAAAATTAAGTACAATATTAATACACCCAGAACAATAATCTGCTCTTCCAGCAGTTGACAGCAGAAACAGAGGTAAGGAGAGCCCAATAACTATGTGAGGTCAGGAGTAAGGCAATCACAATTCTAGTAAAAGAGAAAAAGTGAGAGATTTTGCAAGTGTTCTAGCAGAAGGGAAAAGACGTCTGGTACCAATGACTATACTCAGCAAAAACAAATACAGTGGTGCCTCGCTTAACGATGTTAATTGGTTCCAAAAAACCCATCGCTATGGGAAACATCGTTAAGTGAAACACCATTTCCCATAGGAATGCGTTGAAAATCAGTTAATCCGTTCCAATGGGAACGGATTAATGTCCTTAAGCGAAAATCCCCATAGGAAACATCGCTAAGTGAAACAATGTTTCCCCAATGGAAAGCCATTCAAAAGCACTGAAGCCGGCTTCAGTGCTTTTGAATGGCTTTCCGATGTCCGTGTTTGCTCATTTTTAAGTGTTTTGCAATGTTTGGAACATGTTTTAAATGGTTGGAATAGTTACTCCACCTTGTGAAACCTATGCACACTTAGTTTGGCTTTCTTCTGAGTCTTCGTTAATTTTTGGTGATTTTTTGTTTTTTCCCTCAATGAAATCCAATAGGTATCACAAGGTGGACTAACTATTCCAACCATTTAAAACATGTTCCAAACATTGTAAGACACTTAAAAATGAGCAAACACAGACATCGTTAAGTGAAATTCCCCCATAGAGAACATTGTTAAACGATGCTGAAAATTCCTCAAAGAAACCCATCGCAAAGCGAATACATCATTAAACGAAGCAATAGCTAAGCGAGGCACCACTGTATGTGGGAAACAGCTGAGTAGATTGCCAAAAGGAACTTTCCAGTCAATGTGTTTCATACAAAATAAACAAACACACACACACAGTCACATGCATCACATCACACAGAACTCATCACAGTGTTAATAACATAATAAAAAAGACCCCTGGGGATGTCACTGGGATGCCCATTATGGGCAGGACCATCTTGAATTCCGTAAGACAACACGAACATGGGAGCCATGCTGTGTAGATAGACCTGACTCCAGATTCAGAAAGAATAAAGAATTTGCTCATTAATCTAATTACAGTATCTTGCACCTGGGATAGGGAAGTGTAGTCATCTATTAAGATGACAAGTGCAGTGTTGAATATGGTCACAGGATTGTAGTGAAAAGAACAGTGTATAGTATATGACATAATTATGACATATACTATATGTGCATGAAGCAAATGAAGGAGATCCTTCTGCAGTGATGCTCTGTCATTATTTTCCCACAAAAGGTGGGAGAAAAAATTTAGATATTCACATCTACAAACTAGTGATTGAAAACCTGTTGCGCAGTTACACAAAGAGGGTAACTTTTAGACTGGAGTATTCTAAGTTAAGAAGTCTCTATGAACACTATCAGTTGCATGCTAACTCACATGACTTGATGTACAACAGATAATGCCTACAGATTTTTTTAAAATTACAGCAATTCACATCTAAAAGTTACACTATTTGCATAACTGCATAGCAAGATTCAGCTTCTGTTTCAACAAATTTTGCATCAGTTTGCTGTCCTCTGAAGATGCCAGCCACAGAGACTGGCGAAACGTTAGGAAGAACCACTTTCAGAACACGGCCAAGAAGCCCAAAAAACCCACAACAACCAATTTTCCGTCATTTTACTTTTCAAGGCATGAACAGCCTAGAACTTGCAACAGGACTCTCTCCTCTCCACTAGTACAGTTCTGTTTTGTGATCCCGTGAGTTTAATAATGCCAGTCTATACATTGTATGGACCTCAAACTTGTGAGAAATGTTATTTAAATTCTACTTTGGAGCTATGATTCTTTGTACTGTCCTCTGTTCAGTTGCATAAAGCATGAATTTGCAATAAATAGGCTGTTAGTTTGGGGTCAAATTCCCCAACAGTATTTGGTTCTGCTTTATTTCCTGGTTTTGCATTCTAGTAACCAATAATTATCATGTTTTAGTGTGTGTTCATTTTCCTCCTGGAGGTCCACATAAAAGTGCTTGATTTCTTCTTCAGCTCCTGTATTTGGAGCCCACACTTGAAAGACGATTGAGTTGAGAAGTTTCCCAAGAAGTATGATATATGTTATTTAATTGGACTTTTCAATATTGTTCCAAAGTGTTTGTTTGCATTTTTTCTTGATATTAGTCCCATTATTTCCTTGGATTTTTGCTATTTCAAGGGTAAATCACTTTGTTATTTGACTTATTCCAGTCCACCTCGGTTCATTTACACCAAATGCTGTAATATTTAAATGTTTCATTTCTTGCTTTTTCAGTATTGAATTTACCTAGATTCATACTTCTCAGGTTCTACATTCTAGCAATACTTGTAGGAAGGGACACTCCTTTGGTCCCTGTGAACATTAGGAACGGATGCCCTTTAGGATTTAAATCAGTTGCTTGATTAGCAACAGTACTGTTTGTACTTGTCCTTTGTCCTCCTGAGTGCCTTTGTCCTTCCTGAGAGTCTTTGAGTGCCTTCTGAGCTGGGAGACTCATCTTCCAGCATTATTTCTTGTTTCATTTTGATTTGTCTCAACATAGGGTTTTCAAGGTATGACATATTTAGAAGTGGTTTATTATTTCCTTCTTTGATACATTAATAACAAGAGTTAGCCTGAGTATTACTTCTGGTGCCTGCTAGGCAGCAACCCAGTACCTCTGGAGTTTCTCCACCCCCATTACCATTGAATTCTCATCTCCCGGTGAGACTGTTCATCCTGAACAGGTGGATGCATCTTTGTCTGGTATCTCAGCTTTGACCATTCCACCTTGGCAGACTCTGCTAGAAGTCCAGACATGTAATGGAGTATAGCATTTTTATCAGCTTCTCTGACACACTCAAACCTTCTGACCTTGTTAAAGTGTGCACACAAGAGGATGCTTAAAAGCTTCATAGGATACTAAGGTTTACTTGATAAAAACCAATTAATGTAATAAGTTGCACACCAAATCAGTTGTCTGGCAGAAATGGGTTGTGTTTCACTTTTTATGATTTTGTGAAGTATAACAGATGTAAAAAGAAATAAAATATGTTGTGGCTTAGCTCTCTGGGGCCAGGCAGGTGATGTGTAACCTACATAGTTAACTTGTACACCACCCAGAGAGTGCTTTAAGTGCTATGGGGTGGCATATAAGCAGCGCACTTTGCTTCCCCCCCACCTTACAATCGAAAGACTTGTTTGTTGCAATCCTTTTTGGTTGTTTGGAGGCAGCCCTGGTTGGAGAGGAAAATGAAAGGCTCAGGAAGTCCTGAAACCAGGAAAGAACCCAATGACATCTCAATAGGGAGCAGGGAGAAATTCAGGGAAGGAACTGTACAAACAACTGTCAGGGTGGGCTGAGCCTCAGATGTATTTTCTTTTTTTCTTCTTCTTGAGTTATGCCATCTTTGTACTGTGTTGTTTGGAACTAATCGTTATAAGTGTATTTTGAATGATTTTATACATGTTATACTGTTGTGTTTTCATCCATGTAAGCCACCCTGAGTAGACACTGTCTAGAGGAGCGGGGTAAAAATCTACTAAATAAATAAATAAATAAAAATAAAGCAAACATAAGGCATGGTGTTATAGGACTGCAGCTCCCAGAAAACCCAACCAACACAGCTAGTGGTGAAGGCTTTTTGGAATTTTAGTCCAAGAACATCTGTGGACCCAAGGTTGAGAACCACTGCTTTAACCACAATTACGACACTGTCTAGAGGAGCGGGGTAAAAATCTACTAAATAAATAAATAAATAAAAATAAAGCAAACATAAGGCATGGTGTTATAGGACTGCAGCTCCCAGAAAACCCAACCAACACAGCTAGTGGTGAAGGCTTTTTGGAATTTTAGTCCAAGAACATCTGTGGACCCAAGGTTGGGAACCACTGCTTTAACCAAAATTATAGTTCATAGCCTTGGTCATTCCTCATCTACAAATGAAGCGTATAATTCAAAGTAACTGATTAGATAAGAGGACGACAGAGGACAAGATGGTTGGACAGTGTCATCAAAGCTACCAACATGAATCTGACCCAACTCTGGGAGGCAGTGGAAGACAGGAGGGCCTGACATGCTCTGGTCCATGGGGTCACGAAGAGTCGGACACGACTTAACGACTAAACAACACCTGATTAGATATTGAAGACTGTATAGTCACCTAATACAAGAAGACTAAAGAATATAGTCATGCCGCTTGACTGTTCCTCTTGTTGAGCCTGGACCCCAGTTTGCACTGGAAGGATAGGTTTGGCAGGTGTAGGAAGCACCAGCTTTGTGGTGAGGGCCAATGTGGTGTGAAGGGTGACATTGAATACATCCTGGGTAGCATTTGAGAACCTGTAAAAAGAACACAGTTCTGGATTAGACAGGACAGATTAAAGGTGAAATATATTATTTAAGAAACAAAGTACAGTACTAGCTTTCAACTGCTTTAAGGCAATTGTTCTTAATTACAGGGCCACATGTAGAGTAAATACTGTAATTTCAAAGTCTCTAAAAATCTCCTAGCCTAGTAAGTATTAACAGATAGTAAACCATCTCTCAAAACAGCCGGAGGGTCGAAGTGCATTGAAGATGGATAATTTTTGGAGATCTGTGAACCACATCTGCCTTCACACACACAATTTTGGAAGGCTGAGCATACTCCAGCAGGGGGGACAAAAGACTGTCCCTCCCTCCCTAGAAAAATTCCCTCTATTTGTTTATACAAAATCTTTTTGTTTAAACAAAAGTGATTTGTTTAAAAACTCCTTTACCAAAAAAGGCCTTACCTTTTAGTTTTAGTCATTTCCTATCTGAGCCTAAAACAGACTGTCCCTCCCTACCTAGAAAAACTCCCTCTATTTGTTTATACAAATACTGTAGAGCAAGTTTTTCTAGGGAGGGAGGGACAGTCTGCTTTAGGCTCAGACAGGAAATGACCAAAATTAAAAGGTAAGGTCTTTTCTGGTAAAAGATTTTTTAAAAATGAGATAGAGCTTGTCAAAATGTGTGCAGATCACTTGAGCCACCCGCCCCAAGGAGATAAGATTTGTCACAGGCATTCAAGGAGATCGCTTTTGCATAATAGAATTCCCTGCCAAGTAAGGCTAGGGAAGCTTTCTCCTTACTTGCCCTGTCATAGCTGGGAAAAATAACACTGTTTGGTTGATTAAACAAAACAATAATAAATTAACTACTAACTATATAAAAAATTAATTATCTGTTTATCTAATTATCTGTATTATTTGTTTTTATTATTCCTGCTTTTTTTGGATGCAGTTTTTCCAGCTACTTGCAGCTCACATATTTTATTCTTTTCTGGTGCTATTTTTATCTAATATATAATCATAAGTGCATTTAGAGTGGAAGACTGATCCAAAAGTGTTCTAAATAAGGACACATTTACAACCTATCAACCTTTACATTATACTGCAAAGTACAGAACGAAAAACTAGAAATTCATGAACACAGCAAAGCCTGTGTGTTTCAAAAGCATATATGTTAACAGGTGGTTCTTCATGGTTACACAGAAAACAATAGCTGGGCCTAGGAGGGGAATCTGCAAATAGACCCATGTCACACAAGGCTGTGTGTGTTCCCAGGGAAAAATGAAACGTTTCTGCATTTCACATGGAACTGTGTATACCACTTCTGAAAACAGAGATGACTTACTTTCACCCAATACCCACCTTTTCTGAATCACTCACCTTTTCTGGAAAACTCCGGAGTGGCCGGAAAGTTGGAAAAGATCAGTCTACATTCCAATCCCAAAGAATGTCAGTGCCCAAGAATGCTTCAACTACCGCACAATTGCACCCATTTCACACACTAGCAAGGTTATGCTCAAAATCCTACAAGATAAGCTTCAGCAGTATGTGGACTGAAAACTCCCAGAAGTACAAGCTGGATTTCGAAGGGGCAGAGGAAGTAGAGACCACATTCCTAACACACGCCCGATTATGGAGAAAGCCAGAGAGTTCCAGAAAAACATCTACTTCTGCTTCATTGACTACGCAAAAGCCTTTGACTGTGTGGACCCCAGCAAACTATGGCAAGTCCTTAAACAAATGGGAGTGCCTGACTACCTTATCTATCTCCTCATAAATCTATACACGGGAGAGGAAGCAACAGATAGAACTGGATATAGAACAACTGATTGGTTCAAAATTAGGAAAGGAGTACGACAAGGCTGTATCTTGTCCCCCAGCTTATTTAACTTATATGCAGAATACATCATGCGGAAGGCTGGACTGGAGGAATCCCAAACCAGAAATAAGATCGCTGGAAAAAATATCAACAACCTCAGATATGCAGATGATACCACTCTGATGGCAGAAAGTGAAGAGGAATTAAAGAACCTCTTAATGAGAGTGAAAGAGGAGAGCGCAAAAATGGTCTGAAGCTCAACATCAAAAAAATTAAGATCATGGCCACTGGTCCCATCACCTCCCGGCAAATAGAAGGGGAAGATATGGAGGCAGTGACAGATTTTACTTTCTTGGGCTCCATAATCACTGCAGATGGTGACAGCAGCCACAAAATTAATAGACGCCTGCTTCTTGGGAGGAAAGTGATGACAAACCTAGACAGCATCTTAAAGAGCAGAGACATCACCTTGCTGATAAAGGTCCACATAGTCAAAGCTAAGATTTTTCCAGTAGCAATGTATGGAAGTGAGAGCTGGACCATAAAGAAGGCTGACCGCTGAAGAATTTTGAACTGTGGTGCTGGAGGAGACTCTTGAGAGTCCCCTGGACTGCAAGGAGAACAAACCAACCATTTTGAAGGAGATCAACCCTGAGTGCTCACTGGAAGGAGAGATCCTGAAGATGAAGCTCAATACTTTGGCCATTTCATGAGAAGAGAAGACTCCCTGGAAAAGACTCTGATGTTGGGAAAGTATGAAGGCAAGAGGAGAAGGGGATGACACAGGATGAGATGACTGGATAGTGTCATCGAAGCTACCAGCATGAATTTGACACAACTCCTGGAGGCAGTGGGAGACAGGAGGGCCTGGCGTGCTCTGGTCCATGGGGTCAAGCAGAGTCGGACACAACTTAATGACTAAACAACAAGAGAATCACTCATTTGAAATTTTGCTGAAAATAGTTTTGTTAGGCCCCCATATGCCAGTGTAGTGCGAAATAAATCAGGAAAAATGATATTGATCATGGCCAACATATTAGAATAATTCCAGTCAATTGTTTGCACTGAGTACAAGATTATAAACATTAAATGTAAGTATTCAGTCTGACCAGGACCCTGGAGACATCATCTAGGAGGAAGCTTGAGATCTTGGGGAAAATCCTGGGCGGAGAGTAATAAACTCTCAGCTCCTGCTGGTACAAAAACTCTCTTTAGACTATTCAAGCACCAGTTCTTGCGAAAGTCAATTCATATTCGAGGTCCTGCCTCTGAGTGACCTCCCTTAGTTTAGTGCAGGGATGGATAAAGGACAGTCCTCACAGTGTCTCCCTGTTTTTCTGTCACTAGAGGCTTCCAGGAGCAGCACTGTTTACCCATTTCCAGGCTTGGTATAGATTATAGTGGGTGCTGCTGGAGGCAAAAGTGTGCCCCCAAAACCTGCCAAAATTGCCCATTTTGGACACCTCTTCCAGCATCTGCATGTTGGAGCACAGCTCTTCCTTCTGTATTAACTACACCAAACTTCACCATTCTGAGGTCAAGCAGGTATGTTGGACTACAACTCATACAGTATTCCCCATAACCACTGGCCATGCTGGTTGGGGCTTATGTGAGCTGCAGGGCATCAGGCTGAGTAAGACTGAGCTTCACTCTTGTTTCTACCCAAAACATATGTACAAGGAACTGATATCACACAGGAAGTGAACATATATAATGAGTTGTTTGCCCACCTAGTTCAAGAATAAAAGCTGAGAAGTGTCCTGGGCCAATTTTGGCTTACAGTCCACTTCACTCTGCCTGAAATTCAGGGACACAGCAGCAACCAGAAGTTAGGGGGGAAAGTTCTCCATCGTCAAAATTGTAGTACATATAGATCTATTGATCTATTGATCGATCTATCTATCTATCCATTCAATTTGTATCCCACTCTCATTAGTGTCACAGCACTACTGTTGGCCGGTTGCAACTCATAAAATAGAGGTATATAAAGAAAAACTGAGATATATAAAGAAAAAAAATAGATTAAAAATGTTTGGTCCCCATGCACCTTGTTTTAATCCAGAAAAGTGGAGATGATGCTGCCATAACACTGAAACTTAAAAGCCCTTTACCAAATACAAGTGCTGCAAAAATCGCTGAACCATGGATGGCCAACAAGTCGCTTACCCTTGATCTATTCCAATATTGGCAGCCACTCTCCATGTTGTCAGAAATAAGGTTTTTCTTCTCATTTGCAACCTGATTACTTTAATCAGAGGTGACAAAGACTGGACCTGCAAACTTTTGCATGCAAAGCACTACCACTGAACGTGGGGTCCTCCCTGATGTTTGGTATCTGGAATATATTCACGGGATAAATGCATTTATTCCTATTACCTAAATAAAACTGTGCTATGAGTGATTGTGCTGTCACACATACCCTTTTCTCCTGTATGTTTTGACGAAGTAAGTACAATAATTTTATAAAAGCCATATCATAGCTGAAATACTCATTAAATTGTTAGTTCCAGATGTATTATATTCCATATATCCATATAGAATTATGCTCTGCTGTCATTAAAACAAGAGCTTTCTACCACGTAATGCCAAACACACCCCAGTAAAATTCTTGTTTAAAATAAAATCCATCTTCCTTCAACATTTCATTTTCTATCCATCAATAGTGAAGAGTTTCTATGTGTGATACGCAGTGGCTGAAATCTAGCAATACAGTGCAGCTAGAGTAGGACTATAGAATCTACTGAACTTACAGAGGATTTGCACACAAAATCCCCACTGACTGAACAGGCCTACTCCAGTTGCAACTTATACTGTATTTCAGCCAGCAGGACTTAACGTATGTCCCGCATGGGAGCAGGATTCTTTAGAGAAAGAGACCAGGTGGGTCTTTTTCAGTACAATGAACTGGTGAAAATTATTGATGACCTGGAAGCAGGAAAGAGCTTTCTTGCACAGGATGCAAACCAAAGCAAAACAGAACTAGAAATGACAAAGGCTTTGTTGTCCAAAGGAGATGTTCAGAAAGTCATCCACAAATCACAGTGGGGGATAGCAGAACGTGCATGCAGTTAGCAGAGCCATTTGGCGCCCAGGAGGCTTATATTTTTCCACCGAGATTCAAAGTCTCAAGAAGGAAGCATCTGCACAGCTCCATAAGCCCCAGAAGCTGAGTTTATGACTGAGGAACACAACAACAGCCCAAATCTTGTTCGTATACTTTTACACAGCACAAGCCAATTACATCATCAGCTTAGGCAGCTAGAATTTATTTTAAATTAACTAAATGCTTCCTATCCTCCTGTTCCACATTCTAAGGCTCTCTGTGGCTCCATTTTGTCCCAGGGAAGCCTTTAGGAGCCTCAGGGGGTTCGGGAGCATTCAATTGCCAAAAACTGCTGCCACCAGGACTGGGACCACTGACAGCCATCCAGTGGTGAGTTTTGGCAATTAAAGGCTCACCTCTCCTGTCTTAAAGGTCCTAAAGGCTTCCCCAGGGCAAAAGGGAACTCCAAGGAACCTTGGAGCCTAAAACAGGGGTATAGCAGTATTTAATTATTTTTTAAAAAAATTAGCAGCATAAGCTCAAACATCATCACCTTCCTCCATATAATGTTACACATGCAAGATTTGGGCCAATACATTTGACAAAAAGCAAGAAGGGCACTTTCAAAATCCTATAATTGAAGTTACATCCTGTCATTTTCTGAAGTGAGTGTGATACCAAAAAAAAAAAAAAGCCTGCTGTGCTAATATCTAAGCAATTTACTGCAGAAAGCAGCAAGACATACTTGCTATCATATATTGATAATGTGATAAATGATGTAGGATGGAGCTGTTGGGTCTAAGCTACTATGATAATAGCTTTCATAAGAAGTTAACAAGATTTGTACCACACACTGTATGACATGCTTGTTCTCCTTCTCTGGTCGGAAAGGATTACTCTTTATCTTTTCTTCAGACTTCCCTGTGAAACTGAGAAGAATGTAGACGCCTTTTCGTTTCTTCACACAATCAAAATCTGGACTGGAATGACTATTACTGCCCTTGTTGCAAATTGATAAATTAGTCAAATCAAGTTGATGGTGATGATGCTGTACCCAAATAAGGCAGGAAGAAACCCTGTAACCTTGAACAACACATAACCATTTCAAAATCTGGCACACTATGCTACAGCCATGTGTTCATGACAGGAACAATTACTATCATCACACATACATACACAAAAAAGGGAACTCGCATATCTTTTACAAAGGAGCCTGCGTCTTCTATGTCCTACTCATTCAAGTCTACAAGTGGAGACTAGAGATAATTTACAAAGAATAGACACATAGAAGCTTGAACAAGGATAGCCAATATCTCCTGACTGCTACTGAGTTAAATCTGATGTTATGTTCTTGGTTCTGCTTTCCTTCAAGTTAACAGCCAATTCTCATAGAAGGGGAAATGTGTTATCTCCCCAGTTATCTAAACATCACTGTTCTTTTGAGGACACTTTGTTGATAAACTGGGAAATGAGGGGATTATGGTTTCAGTTGTTTGTTACAGTGCATGTACAGTGGACCCTCTACTTACGGAATTAATCCGTATTGGAACAGTGGCTGCAAGTCGAAAAGTCTCTAGGTCGAATCTCCATTGACCTACAATGCATTGAAAACCGATTAATCCCATAATCAGCGGTTTTTATTCTATTTTTGTTCCATTTTGGTTTTTTTCTGGTCTGTAAGTCGATTCTCCGGCTGCAAGTCGAATCTAGATTTTGTGGCCAGAGAAGTCTGTAACTTGAAAAGTCTGTAAGTCGAGCCGTCTGTAAGTCGAGGGTCCACTGTAAAGGAATTTCCAAGGTCATAAAACACTCCTGGCAGAACCCACTTCTGGTACCAAGCTAACTAGTGAGAACTGATTTCAGCTAAGAAGAAGAGAGGAATAGAGTCAAATTATGTTAGAGAAGGTTACTCTCTTCTGGTAGTTTCAGAGCAAGTTGGAGCCCAATTGCTAGAATACCACAGGAAAATCTGAATAGATAGATCATGGTAGAAAAATGGCATGGGGAATATGCTTGGTTTAGTCTAGTTTCTCTGAGGAGAATACTATACTTGCCTGCTGTTTCACTACGTATTTGATTTATACTTTCCACGTGCTCTGGAACTATGCTGAAGGTCTTTCAATTTAAGTAGTTTAGGATAATTAGCTTCTATGAAAACTGTTCTGGAAAAGTCGAGCCGTCAGACTTTTTTTGAACATGTATTTGCTTCACAACCTCTTGGCTGCTTTTGAACTTTTTGGAAACTGCTTCTGACTTTATTTCTTTTGCAATATCTTCAATAAAATAAAAAAAATTACAGCAGTTTTTTTACTCTGAGACAAATATGGTTTGCTGGTACTAAAGTAGGGCCTTATCTTGACCACATACTGAATTCTTTGAAATTCTATGGTTATTTTGGTATTCCTACCTGGTAGGATTGGCATGCAAGTCAAATCATGCAACCTTGTGTTTTCTTTGGAAACTTCCTGGAACGCTAAAGACTGAAGGTGACTCAGAGTGTTGGGAAAAGGAACTGGAAACATTGACACACACACCCCCCCCAGAATTTACCCAAACCAGGACGTTCTGGGTCATATGGCTTAGTGGTTTGTGTGGGCCTGTTTTTCCGAACCATAATCATGATACAGTTCCATAGGGAAGTTAGCCTGTATTGTGCTGCAGCAAAAACAAAAAAGAATTTTGTGGCACCTTAAATACTAGGTAGTTTTGTTCAGGAAAAGACTTTGTTAAGTGGGCTGCAATATACAAAGATTTAAGTCTTTAAAAAGTTGTAGGTTTTAAGGTGACACAAGAATCTTTCTTGATTTGGAAGCAATATTCTTTTGAGAAGCTTGGTCTAGGTGAACAAAAAGCATACAGACATCACTGTCCTCCCAATCTAAGACATGCATCAAATTAATTATAGTGACTTTCCTGAGATAAAGAGGGGTGAGAAGCAAGATACTACCCACTCTTTTCCAACCTGATAGTATTTAATAACTGTTGCTTACATTAGAAGCAGATGTGACAAGTGCTAAGGGTCTCCAAAGGCTATGGCTGACTACACTCAGAACAGCCACTTCCAGTCCCAGCAGATGGTTCAGTATGTTTGGAGAAGAAAAGATGACAACTATCCACCCCAAATTTCTTGCCTAACCTTTTTTTTCTCTACAAACCATTCCCACACACATACCAGCTGACTGCAACTACAGCTACTCTGTTTCCCCCAAAATAAGACCTAATCTGAAAATAAACCCTAGTATGATTTTTCAGGATGCTCCTAATATAAGCCCTACCTCAAAAATAACCCCCAGTTAAGTGAAACCCAATGTGCAGCATTGTGCATCAACTAGATTACATCACTGTAAAATAGAACATCGCCTGAAAATAACCCCTGATACATATTTTGGAGCAAAAATTAATATGAGACCCTGTCTTATTTTCGGGGAAACACGGTAATGCATAAATGTTTGCTGTGGGACAGCTGAAGGTGACACTAGTTGTACAGTTTGAGTAGTAAGTCTTTTAAAGATAATCCACAGTCACATTCATTCATATACACAAAAAGAATCCCTAAATACAGTTATGCCAATCCCTACCGACAAAACCAGTTCCACCAGTTTTCATCTCTTTCAAAGGTAGGTCTTTTCTCTCTACAGCCCAATTGTTGACCAAAAGCTTGACAAAAGTGAAAACACTTTGTCATCAGAAGTACAAAAGTGATTGCCTCCCACAGAAAACCATTCTACAGCCTGGGGCCAGCCCTTGCTCTCATCCTCTCCACATGTGTCAGTGAGAGCAGTGGATCCAAGGGAAGGGCGCCACTGTTGATCACTGACTGGCAGCCAATAGAGCTGATTTTCTAACCACTCTCAAATACTGTGCATTGCAAAGAGGTGCTTCACAAAGATGCATTGTTGCTAGGAAAACTTATATTTCATTAAGCTACTGTAAGGACTTTAGCTCAGTTGAGAGGAATAGGGAAGCCTGAAGGAGACTGCATCATCATCTCTGCTCACATCATGTGTAACAAGTGCGGGGACGAGGGGGAAATCTCCTAAGGCTTCAGTATTATGTACTGTATCCTGCTTCCAGTAAACTATTAGTCAATGAAGGAGCGGAAATCCCTAGCTTTCACCCTGCCCTGCCCTGCCCTGCCCTGCCCGAGTTTTCAACCGCAGATACCACAAGTTCGCGCTCACTTGTGAGCCTGGAGTTCCCCCCACCTCCACACAATGTTAAAATATGATACAGAATAACCCTGACAAATTCAAGCACAGGAAAATGCAACGGGGCGGGGGGGGAGAGGGGGAGAACAGAGGCAGGCCTTGCCCATTGGGTTCTTTTTTTTTTTGTCGGCGCTCTGTAGTCTACGTGACGCATTCTTTATGGCCGAGAGTAACCCTGAAGGAGGGGGAACGACGCCGCTAGGCCGACGCGTGCTGTCCCTTGGCAACCGCGTCGGAGCCGCGTGGTTGGTGCGTGACGTCATAGCCGGAGAACGACGCCTCTTTGTTCTTCTGTTTCCTTGGAAAGAATGACAGTTGGGTTTCGGGAGAGTTCCCGGACAACAGCACGTGGGAGAGCACGAGGTGGAAATGAATAGCCCGTGTTTTCTTTTTTTCCTCACGGCAAAAAAAAAAATAGAGAAAACCTCCCCCTGCCAAGCTACTGTAAGGACTTTAGCTCAGTTGAGAGGAATAGGGAAGCCTGAAGGAGACTGCATCATCATCTCTGCTCACATCATGTGTAACAAGTGCGGGGACGAGGGGGAAATCTCCTAAGGCTTCAGTATTATGTACTGTATCCTGCTTCCAGTAAACTATTAGTCAATGAAGGAGCGGAAATCCCTAGCTTTCACCCTGCCCTGCCCTGCCCTGCCCTGCCCGAGTTTTCAACCGCAGATACCACAAGTTCGCGCTCACTTGTGAGCCTGGAGTTCCCCCCACCTCCACACAATGTTAAAATATGATACAGAATAACCCTGACAAATTCAAGCACAGGAAAATGCAACGGGGCGGGGGGGGAGAGGGGGAGAACAGAGGCAGGCCTTGCCCATTAAACAGCAGTTACGTGGCCACAACGGCTCCAAAATAACCCCTCACACGGCGGTGACGCTCAAGTCTGTTTTTAAACTCGCGGGGTTTCAAGTACGTCTGAACCTCTCCTCAGCAACAGGACTAGAAAGGCCAACGGCGAGACCTGTCCTCACGCTCCGCTCCCTCTGAAGGATGTCGGGCAACCTGTCCTGCCTTGCCTACCTACCCCCGTTGACCCCACCGAGGATCGACCCATTCCGATCGCGCCTCCCCCCTCCCCCTTGAATCCCCCTCAGAAACCGCTCCCACTCCGGAACCCTGAAGAAAAGC